CTGCTGGAAGATGAATATCTGCCTGATAAGTCTTGTTACCGAGGGAATGACTCAATGGATAAGAATCTTCTTGTACCTGTCACCAGTCTGAGTCCCATAAATTTTGTGTAGATCTTCTACACTATTAACTAAGACGCAGCCCACACACTTATGTCGGTTCCTCATCATGCCCAACTATAAATATTTTATTCTCTGCTCAGTCATCGTACAATCAATTTGTTGCCAAACAACATAAATTTACATTCAAAGCAACTTCCTCCAGCTTTGCTAATTTCATTGTTTGATATCCACTTCAACTTTTGGGTTTGGTCTTTCTCTCCTAGCAGTGTTTGAGGTCATTTGCTAGATATCCACTCGATTTTTATGTATACCATGAATTAATTAACATCACTTTTGAAAGTTTGGCTTTCTAAATCAACCGCTTTTATTATCAAGAGTATTGGTTTAACATACTCTCTTCAGAATTTCCATATGGGTCCTACACGAAATTCCCTCTCAATCTGTTACGTGGAAAGGTTTGCACAAGCCAAAACTGGATTTATTATACACTTTCCTCGTATGTTATTATACCAGTAAAGCATTGCTTGATTGTCTAGATGACAGACTATGACAGTGTAAACTATCGACACGTGATGCAATTCAAAGCATTTTCATTGTATACCTATTCTATTTACTGTTTTCACGATTATTTCCAGTGCTATGTGTGTTGTAGCACAAGGTACTACGTAGAGAAGAAGTTTAAAAGAATGAGAGATTTATAAATAATGAAAATAAACTCAGCATTTGAACTCCAAGAAAAGTTTTCGGAATCTTTATAACTGGAACATTTCGTACGTGGAAAATTTTGAAGTTGATAGCAGCACATAGCAAACAGTTATACTTGTAATTCACAAAACAATGTTTCCCAGGATTTCTATTACAACGAAATATGTTCTTTTTTGCCCAGTACAGGCAAGATATTTTAATTGTCGATGACTACTTTTTTGTGACATAGAATGACAGCCTCCTGTTTAAAAAAATGATAAAGTTCTAGGCTGATTTATCGATAGAAGTAAATACTTGCATAGCTTAGGGAAAATGTGTTTACATCTAAATACATGTTACAGAGAACCTTCTTTGCGGCTTTTCAAACAACCCAGCCACAGTATTGCTTCATACATGTATAATAAAATAAACTCTGCTAATGCGCCATAAAAACCAGCGTTTGCTATATATATATATATATTCGTTTATTACGTAAACCCCTGTTGGAATTCTTGTGGCAGCCTTGAGTCGTCACCATCAGTCGCGATCTCCCGATCTTCTTATATCTTAACCTATCGACATTCCCACTTGTCTTCTTGCCCCATTACTCCACCTTGCGGTTGGTCTTTTTCTCTTTTTTATATTCCTCTCAACTTTTCCTTCCATGGAGGTTTTTCATACAGGTATGATTTTTTGTACCCAAACTTTTTCTTCTTAATGATATTTCCCAATATTCTTCTTTCACATCCCATTTTTTCACTATTTTTTTATTTGTTTTTATCTCAGTCCATAATAGTTTCAGCACTTTCCTATGGCACCACAATTCTCTCAGTACATAATGGTTTCAGCACTCTCCTATGGTACCACAATTCTCTCAGTCCATAATGGTTTCAGCACTCTCCTATGGCACCACAATTCTCTCAGTCCATAATGGTTTCAGCACTTTCCTATGGCACCACAATTCTCTCAGTCCATAATGGTTTCAGCACTCTCCTATGGCACCACAATTCTCTCAGTCCATAATGGTTTCAGCACTTTCCTATCGCACCACAATTCAAAATTTTTAGTCATCTTTTTTTTACTTTTCGCAATCATAAGTAGTTGTTTAGAAAATAGCTAATCTGTGTAAACGAAACATTAATGATACTGTAAACCTCCAACCTTTCCATACAGTCATCGTCTCGACCATACTTTTTCTTGTCATTGTTAACCTCACCTTAATATTTACTTAACATTCTCCCTTATTGTTAATTATGTACCCTCAATATTATAGTTCTTCCACTTATTCAATTTCTTCACCGTTCACTTCTGTCTTTTCCGTATTATTTTCATCTCTCAATACAGTCTTTGTTTTCTTTAAATTTAACATTAAACGTTTACGAGCATTTTTCTAATTCACTCTTTCGAGCAGTCTACTTCGAGATTCCTGTTTTTTTTATTAGAAAGTGACATCCGTGTAACCCAAGTTAGTTATTAATCAACCGTCCAATTCTATTCCTCCTTCAAAATCTTCTAACGCTTCTCTTATAATATCTTTGCATAATATTAAATGATTAGGAGTCATAACACGTCTCTAACAAACCCATTTTCCAATTTCAGACTAATTTCTTTTTCCACGCTTTTACTTGCCGCTGACACCTGTCGTTTCTATAATTTTCTAATGAGATTATTAATCTATATGAGAAACCACATCGTTTACATTACCTCCCAAATATTTTTACGTTCGACACAATGTAACACCTTAGTGTTGTATATAAAACACAAGTTTAATAGTTTTCCATATTCTTTACACTTTTTTATCATCAGCTCCGGGTTCAAATTTTTTTACCTGGTTCCTTTTCTTTCTTTGAACTTACCTGCTTATCCTTCCCCCATTTCTTCCCCGATTTTATTTGACATCAATGCGTTTGGTAAGATTTAACTAGCATGCGAAATTAAACGATCTATTCTATAACTTTCGCAAAGTTTCATTTTTTGGCATTGACACAAAAACTGGTCGCCACTGGCCTTCGGACCATTTTTTTTTGTTTCCCATTTCTTATTAATTCTACAGATATTTTCAATAAT